ACATCTTTTAAAATTTCAGTGATTTTAACATTTACTTTTCAATGTGTGTCTTGTACTTTTTTGTTAAACTAATTCCTAAGCATTTTATTCTTTTTGATACTATATTAAATGAATTGTTTTTTAAAAAAGATTTCATTTATTTTTAGAGAGGGGGAAAGGAGAAAGAGGAGAGAAACATCAATGCGTGGTTGCCTCTCAGGCACCCCTTACTGGGAAACTGGCCCACAACCCAGGCGTGTGTCCTGACTGGGAATCAAGCCAGCAACCCTCTGGTTCACAGGCCAGCCCTCAATCAACTGAGCCACACTGGTCAGAGCTAAATAAGTTGTTTAAAAAAATATATTTTTGGATTGCCCATTTCCAGGGTATAGAAATACATCCAAGTTTTCTGTATTGATTCGTATCCTGACAACTTGCTAAACTCATTGAACAGTTCTTAGTTTTTTAGTGGACTCCTTAGGACTTCCTATATACAAGATGATGTGATCTGCAAAGAGACATGGTTTTATTTTTCCTTTTCAACCTGGTTATTTTTTCTTACCTAATAGCCTTGGCTAGAACCTCTAGGGAAGTGGTAAATAGACAGGCAAGCATGGGCATCCTTGTTGTGTTCCTGATCTACAGGGAAAGCATCCAGTCTTTCACCATTAAATATGATGGAGCTGTGAATTTTCCAGAGGCCCTTCATTAGACTGAGTACTTTCCTTCTACTTCCAGTTTTAGTGTTATCATGAAAAGGGTGTTGGATTTTGTCAAATACTTTAAATGCATCTATTTAAATGATTATGCAGTTTTTGTCCTTTATTCTATGTGTATTAGATAAATTTCATATGTAGTACCAATCTTGCATTCCTAGGATAAATTTCACTTAACCATTGTAACGTTTAAATATACTTCTGAATTTGGTTTACTTGCGTTTTGTTGAAGATATTTGCATCTATAATCATCAGGGATAACTGTATTTAGTTTAGTTTTTTCCTTATGATATCTTTGTCTGGCTTTGGCATAGGGTAATGTTGGCCCCATAAAATGAATTGAGGTATTCCTTCCTTTTCTTTTATGGAAGAGTTTGTGAAGGATTGGTTGTTAATTTTTCTTTAAATGTTTAGTAGATTACTGATTTAAATAGTTTTCCCCCAATTTGTGTCTACTCAGAACCTCAGAATGGGACTTAATTTTGAAATAAGATCTGTGATAGTTTTCTGGAGCTGCCTTAACAAAGGACCATACAGTGAGTAGCTTAAAACAACAGAAATTCAGTGTTCTGGATGCCAGAAGGTTTTTGGACTTCTACTTGGCAGAGTTGGTTTGAGGGCTGTGAGAATCTGTTCCATTCTTCTCTCCTAGCTTCCGGTAGCCTCAGGCATTTCTTGTCTTGTAGATTGTGTTCTCCTCTTATCCTCTTCCTTCTTTTTGTATCATTCTCTGTGTCGAAAATTCCCCTTTTTATAAGGACATCAGTCATTGGGATAAGGGCCACATTCATGATCTCACTGTAACTTGATTACCTCTGTAAAGACCCTGTTTCCAAATAAGGTCACCTTCTGAGGCACTGAAGTTTAGAACTTTAACACAATTCAACTTGCAACAGTTTCTTTGCAGATGTAGTTAAGAGGAAGTCATACCAGATTAGGGTGGGCCTAAATCCAACATAAATAGTGACTTTATCAGAGGACACAGAGAACATAATGCCATATGTACACAAAGGCAGAATTTGGAGTGATGAATCCGTAAGTTAAGGATTGCTAGCAACAATGGAAGTGAGGAGAGAGGCATGAAACAAATTTTTCCTCAGAGCCTCCATTCTTATTTCCTTCTGGTTCTCAAATGTATGTATTTGATCGTTAAGACTGTTTTTTTCCTCATTCTTTTTCTCTGTGGTTCAGTTTGGAAATTTTTTGACTGACATTTAAGTTCAGTGATCTATTTTTCTATTTTTGTCCAATTTGCTGTGAATCCCATTCAATACAATTTTTGAAATTTTTCATTTCAGGATTCTTACTCTTCTCTTTTCTAGTTTCTAAATCTCTCCTGATAGTTCCCAATTTTTTAGTATTGATGAATTTGCTAATTCCATTGTCTGGGTTATCAGTGGGTGTTTTTATTGACTATTTAAAAAAAAGTAAGTCACTTTTTTCTTTGTTATTTTTCATTATATACTAGACATTGTGATTGATACACTGAAAAGATACTGCATTCTGTTACTTTCCTTAGAAGACTGTTGAGTTTTATCCAAGATGGCAGTTAAATTATTGGCAGATCAATCTGATGTTACAGAGGCTTGGTTTTACTCTTTAAGTCTGGTCTTTTCTTGTGTTGTCCTTGTCCCAAGGGAAAGCCCTCCATCGTTAAGAAACGGTCTGTATCCCTATATACATAAAGTCTAAAGTGTTTAGCAAGCCTCTCCAAATTGGAAAAAGGTAAACTCAAAACTGTATTTTGGTACCAAGCAACTGCTAAGATCTCTGCTGAGGTCTTTCTGCCTTCCTGTTGTTTTCCCCTGCGCTTCTTGGTCTCATCCTCTGCACACTTGGTCAAATCAGCCAAAGATTTGAGGTAAATTTCATATGCAGATTTGGGTGCTCCTCTCTAACCGCCTCCTGTTTGGGATTTCCTGTCAATTTCTAGCTGCTGCTGGCTCCTTAATGACATTTGGGGACGTCTGTAAGGACACGACCTCTGGTGTGCTCTGTGCACTGGGGACGCTCTCTGGGGAAGAGCAGTGGCTATGTCCTTTTTAATAAGGGTCGGATCCCCTACATTTTCTTTCTTTTGATCACTCTTCAGGCCTTCAAATATTCTTCAGAAAAATTGTTTTCCAGGGTTATTAGGGCTGAAGGTTTAGTCTTGCTTTGTCAGAACTTTTAAAAATATTCACATTGGGGGCTCATTCCCTCTTTCTGAGTGATTTTGTCACTTAATTTGTGGGTGTGTAGGGGCTTGATTTTTTTCTCCCTGATTTTTTTTTCTCCCTCTAAAAGACATGTACTCTAATGATTTCCAGCAAGTGCCATAAATCTAGACTCACTTTTTCTCCATCTGTGGACTTCAGGACTGTGGTTTTAAATCCTTGATCTATGGTTAAGTCAGACTTTATGATTATAGGGTGGCATCGTTCTCATCATGTACTACCTGGAAAAGGGGCAAAGTTGGATTACCCTTTGGTTTCCTTTACAAGGCAGCAGACTTTCCTACCCACCCTTTTCCTCGTAAGCATAACTTCTCTGACTATCCCAGCTTTATGCAGGGATCTTCTCCAGACCCAAAGCCTAAGTCTCCATTCTACAAACTGTTTATTGTATTTTTATTAGTAGGAGAGGAAGGGTGTTTCATATTAAATAGTTACTTCTGTGGCTTCAGTTTATGTATCCTTTCTTACCCCTGGACTTTAGGGATTTTCCGTATTTTCTCCTGAGTTCAGTATCCCATTTAGAAGTGTGTTTGTAGCAATTTATTCAGCCCTTGGGTATCCTGTAGCAGTGGAAAACTTTTTAGAAAACTTTGATGCCAAAAGGGTAACTATCTTCCTTATTTCCCCCCAGTATTTGATGAAGGTATAATTTACATACAGTAAGAGCCCTATATTCTAAGTATACAGATCAACAGATTTTTAAATAATATACAAGATTAGGAAAAAGTCCACCCATTGTTAATATATAATGAGAATGGTTTGCGCAACATCGATGTACCCTGGCAGCCAAGGAAAGTGGACTGGAATGCACATGCATGAACGATGATGACTTTACTGTAATAGTCAATAGGGGCAGTAGACATCAGCGAGTGAGCATGTGTAATGTGTGGCCATCACATTCAAAATGACAGAGTAGAACAAGGAATCAGCATCAAATTTCGCGTTAAGCTTGAGCATTCCTCCATGGAAACTATTCAGATGACTCAGAAGGCTGTGGCGATGGGCAACTGGTGAATGGAGGCTTCATCATGACAACATGCTCGCTCATGCATCACGTCTCGTGCAGAGTTTTTTGGTAAAACATCAATTCACCCAGGTGACTCAGTCTCACTACAGCCAGATTTGGCTCCCTGAAACTTCTGGCTTTTCCCAAAGCTAAGATCACCTTTGAAAGGGAAGAGATTTTAGAACTTCAGTGAGATCTGGGAAAATAAACAGGGCAGCTGATGGTGATTGAAGGAACTGTGAGGTCCCAAGGTGCCTACTTTGAAGGGGACTGAGGTGTCATTGTCCTGTGTACAGTTTCTTGTGTCTTGTATCATCTTCAATAAGTGTCTTTTTTTATATTACATGGCTGGATAACTCCTGGACAGACCTCATGTATGCATGTTACATTATCTGAATTTATAGAATACTTACATCATTCCAGAATGCCCTTTCCAGTCTATACTCACTCAGAGGTTATCCTCCTAGATTTGTTTTGCCTGTTTTTTAGCTTGATATGTGACATCTAGTTCTTTTTGTTCAACATTCTTCACATTTATCCCTCTATGAGCAATTCATTTTTTTTAAATTGTAGACTAGTGTTCCAATATACCACTATGTGATTATCCATTAACTTGGTGGTGGATATGGGTAGTTTCCAGTTTGGGGATATTATAAATAAAGCTTCTATGAATATTCTTGTACAAATATTATTGTGGGCATACGTACTCATTTCTCTTGGTTGTATCTCTGGAAGTGGAATCAGTGAGTCACAGGGCAGGCATATATTTACCTTTCTGAGAGACTGACAGGCTGTTTCCCAAGGCAATTATACCAGTGTACCCTTCTAACAGCTGCTCATATTCTCAGTGGTATTTCCTCGTGGTTTTTCCTTACATTCATTGATGGCTTATGTTGAGCACCTTTTCAGCACCTTTTCCCATACCAATTGGACATCTGGACAGCTTCTATGAATTGTGTATTCAGTAATTTGTTTTTAGAGTGTGTTGCTTTTACAATGGCTTTTCCGTTGTTTTTCCACATGTGAGTCGTTTGTCAGTTACATGTTCAGCAAATACAGGGTCTGGCACAAATAATGCCTTTTTATTACAAAATCTTTTATTACAAAATCATAAGCATGTAATTCTGAAACATAGCACTCTCACACTTTAGCATACCATATGACATTTTAGATGAAATGTTCAAGTTAAAACTATAAATTATTACACCCATATTATTACCCTACCAACCACACTCAAGCAGGTGTTACTTCTGCCGGACCCTGTATTTTCTTCTTGGGTGTCGCTTGCCATTTCACTTTAACAGTATCTTTTTTAGGAAAAGGGTTTAATGTTTGTGAAGTTTATTATTTCTTTTTCTTTTATGGTTAATGTCCTTTGTGTCCTAAAGCTGTCTGCCTGCCCCAAGAGTCATGAAGACATTGTGTTCTTCTAGATTTATTGTTTTGTCCTTCACATTGAGGTCTGTGGTTAATTTTGAATAAATTGTGAACTGTGTGAAAGCACCAATTTTGTAAAAAATACACATATCCAGTTAATCCAGCTCCAACTTAAAAACAAACAAACAAAAACCTTTCTTTTCCCTATTGAATTGCTTGGTGTTTTTGTTGAAAAGCCAATGGCCATAAACATATGCTAATGTGTGGGTCTGTTTCTGGACTCTTTTCTATTCACTGACCTGTTTGCCCTAACTCTAGTACCACTCTCTCTTAATTACTATAGCTTTAAAGCAAGTCACTAAATTGAATAGTGTAAGCCTATTTTTTCAATATTATCTTGATTCTGGGTGTGTGGCCTTTTGATATATATTTGCCAATTTATATGAGTGCCTCATAAGATTCTGATTATGTTGAAGCTATAGATCTGTGCAAAACTGAGATCTTAACATTTTCAGTCTTTCAATCCATGAGCATAATATTATTGCAGTGTTCTATAATCTCTCTCAGCAACACTTTGTAGTTTTCATGGTAGAAGTCTTGCACATCTTTTATTAACTCTCTTTTGAGTTATTTAACCTATATGACTAAACCTAAACATTTTAAAATTAAATACTTAATTGTTTTTGCTAGTGTATAGACAGCACAATGAGAGCTTTGCCTCATATCCTGCAAATTTTTTAGTTCTAATAGATTTATAAAGCAAACATTTGGTAATCTTCAATAAATCAGAATGGGAGCAGTGGCATGTAAATGGAAATACATCTGATTTTTCAAACTGTAAAAATGTGATTTATTGTTTGTATTCTTCCTTTTACAATTTTCACCTCAAACATTAGTTTCTGATTTTCTTTTTTTCCTTTGAAGAACATGTAATTTTAGAGTTAAACCTACTCTCGCTATACTTACTGGGAGATAAGAAGAGCACCAAGTCTTTACAGAGAAACCTCTGTTTTTCAGCTGAAGGTGCAATAAGGAAGTGAGGAGGCCATGGCCTACATGTCCTTTTTTTCCCTTTTTTGCAGAATGGTGAATAAAGTAAGGTTTTTCAAGAATGCCAACAAGAACGGAAAGACATTAACATGGACTGGGATTAAAGTAGAGTGGATTGATTTGTGATTTTTAAATTATTCTTGTTACGTTTATGAATTCTTCACTGGTCAAATAATAGTCCCATCTTTTGATCCTTTCCTTTTTCAGTTTCACAACTGAATGATTAGCATACTGTCTAATCTACAAATGGATATAACGAACAGGGACCCATTTTAACTTCAAATAACACCAATGTAAGGCACAACTATTCAGGAATATTTTATATTTTCAAAGTCTTTAGGAATTCTTTAATTAGAAAAATAAAGGCAATGGGATTATCTATCAGGTTCTAAAAGTACCCATGAATTAAATCACTCACATCCCCCTCTTAAAAAACAAAAAACAAAACCTTAAATCACATTGCTATTAAGCTTTCTTACAGTAAGGAGTAAGATAAAGCTATGCTAGAGTACAAAACCTGAAAATCTGAGCATGAAAATAATTTATTGATTAGACATCTGGTTCATCCAAGCATTAGGCCTACTGAAGATAGAATTAACACAGCTCATGGAGCAGGAAAAAAATTCCATCCAGCACTGCTTATTTTTAAATTTCCTGGGGACGAAATGTTTGCCTTCTGTACTACAGACTCACCTTCAGGCATCCACATGTGCTTGATATTAACTTGAACAGGATATGAGAACTTCCTGTACAACTTGGCAAGTATCGATGCAACTTTCAGAAACATTCTTAGGCACAAGAAATAGCACTGCCTGCAGCAAAAGTCTTTGATAATCAAAGAAAAGAATATAATTTAAATATAATATTACAAATAGAAAGAAAAAATATATGTATTTTTGCCAATGGATTGCTTTACATATCAGGAAAAATGTTACAATGAGATTTTCTTTCTGTGAGAATAACACTTAATTGATATTCAACTTTTAATTAGTATTCAGGTTATTCTGCAGTACTGGTAATCAAGAGAAAAAACTGATTTAACCTAAATTAAATTTAGAGAAGTGCAGGATTAATAATATGGAGTAATAATTGCACTTCTTTGACTAACTCATTAAAAAATGCCAATTAAACATTTTCAGTTAAATTTTATTTTTTTTAAAAAAAGCAGCAGATCAACATTACAATTCAAGAACCTAAACTAAATATGCACTTGACAGTGAAGCACATCTTGAGTATGGAGTGAAAACAGTTTTCAAAAAAAACATCAAATGTATCATCTCCAAATACCCAAATAAGAAATCACTTCTGCAGGCCTTTTGTTGAGTGGAATCATAAACAAAAAACTGAAGATTTATTGCTGTGAAAACATCTCTGTAGTACAGTAGTATGAATCTTGGGTAGTAAGCATAATCAGCTGAATCAAGTTAAGTTGAAAATCTAATAAATTTGTGTGTGTGGAAGTCTATAAGCCAGTTGACCCAAGAGCAACTGAGATATCTAACTATTCAGTGAGACCAGACATTATTTTAAATCTCCATTTTTGGAAGGCAATTAAAAATTACAATTCCAACAGCCCACAAACAAAATTTAAAAAACTGTAGAAAGCAATTAAAACTACGTTCAAAGAGCCTTTTTTTCCCCTAGCTCAATTTCAGCACCCCAAGGAGAAATAAAAAAGCATCCATGACTATCACAGATGAAAACAGAATGAATGTCGTTGGAATCAGTTATTTTTCCCCACTGAGGTATAAAATCTATATAGAAATTTGATACTATACTATAACAAATTGTACTGCTTATTCTGTTTTAGTTTCCTTTAAACCCTGTTTTATATAGTTTTTAATTGTAAAAATGTTGCTTTCATGATTCTGAACCTGGTTCCAGTTCTTTTCATATATCTTTATATCAATATTTAATATACTGGCTACCAGTTCTAATCAGAAAAAATCTTAGAAATCTCTTCATTATGACAGTGTGTCCAGCAGAAATTACTGATGTGCAAGCAAACCCTAAAAGGTGCAGCTTTCTGGAACGCACATTTTGTTGATTCATTGTCTGAATATTCTTTACAATGATTCTTGATGAAAGACTCTTTCAATCTTGTAAACATCAGTGTGCACAGTCTTGTCGCTACATTGTAGTTGCACGACCTTGGACAGGAGGGCTGGTTCACAGCTAAGTGAGAAGTGAGAGTCTTAAGTTTTAATGGCTGCTAAACCTTACATCCTATCCTGCAGGAGGAAGCACTTTTCCTTTTTTGCTGCTTAAGATTGTGGCAGAAATGTATGCTGAGGTAGCCCAGTCAATCCTTATTTTTTTCTTTTTGTGTGTAAATTTGGTCTCAGAATATTTCTGGAAGGGTGACGTTTCGAAGAAGCCACTGCTGTGACCGGCTTCCGTTGCAGTCTCTGATGCTGGGCACCTGGCTATCCTCTTCTGTAGCTTTATCCAGGCACTGATTGCTGTTCACATGCTGCAGGGTCAATTTCTGAAAATGACAGAGAAGGAGTCATAAGGTGAAAGTGGAAAACAAAACAAAAACATCTCAACCATCATTTTTGGTAACTGTTAAATTCCTCAGCAGAAAGGGTTTTTTTGTTTGTTTTTGTAATATAAGTTATTTCATTAACAAGGGAGAAAAGGTGTCTATGTAAAGACAGCAGCAAGAGCTCTGTGAGAAGGAGAAAGGCACTGGGATACATGTGGGTTACACTGAACTTGCAGTACAATGACCTAAATTCTAAGCCCATTTCTGCCATAAGCTCTGAGAAATTTTACTTTTTTGTGCTTGTTTCCTAAAAATACAATTGGATTAGTGGTTCCTAATTTAGGATCCTCAACCTATTTTCAAAAAGCTATTTCAAAATTGCCTCATTTCCCTCTGATAAAGCTGTTCAAATGAATTCTGTGATTCTACATCTCAAGTCCTTAGAAACTCAGGTTCTTTTAAAGATTCAAAACCACAAGATTTACAAAGCTGTCCTTTTTTTTTTTTTTTTTTTTTTTAAAGATTTTTATTTATTTTCAGAGAGGGGGGAAGGGAGGGAGGAAGAGAGGGAGAGAAACATCAGTGTATGGTTGCCTCTCACATACCCCCTAACTGGGGACCTGGCCTGCAACTCAGGCATGTGCCCTGACTGGGAATCGAACCTGCTACTCTGGTTCACAGGCTGGCGCTTAATCCACTGAGCCACACCACCCAGGGCTACAAAGCTGTCCTTAATAAATGACTACTACATATAGTTACATATTTTCCTGTCTCCTGTTTATATTCTAAACTGTCATGTTGATTTTTTGGATAATTTTAAAAGGACAGGACAGATGATAATTAACAGATACACACTGACCCACAATGACAAACCTGACACCACGCCCTGGTCAGGTTCAGGACACCAAAGCCACTGTGTAGGAACTGTCATTAAGCGTTATCCCTGTAAGTGTATATATATCTATAAGGAAATGGGGAGTATGTTTATTAATACACATTTATCTTTTTGTTTATGGTTCTATTTTAATGTATTTCTTTTATGTGGAACATTTTGTTTTCATAAGGCCCTTTTTGGTACTTATTTGACCTAAAAACAAAACCTAATGATTATAGACAATTAGCTATTTTAGCTTTCAGTCATCTATTCTATATTGTGGCCTAAGTGGAAACTGGCAAAAGGCAGTAAACATTTGCAGATGTCATAGGTTACTACCAACACCGACTTTAGGTTCGGGATTATATCTGTTAATTCTTACACATACATAATAGAATCTGGACGAGAGCCAGCACAGTTGTGGTTGTTTTTTATTCAGATGCTTTGTAGTTTACTTGCTGGGAGAAAGGGCTTTGCAGTCGGAAATTTCTAGAATAAATTCCAGATCTGTCATACACCAACTACAGTCATGCGTTGCTTAATGAGGGAAATACAATCTGAGAAACGCCTCATTAGGCATATCATCAAGGTGCAGACACCACTGAGTGCCGTCACAGAAAGCGAAGCGCAAAGCCTGCTGCACACCGAGGCTGTGCGGGAGGGGCTGCTGCTCCTGGGCTACACGCCTGCACAGCGTGTCACAGCACGCAACATGAGATTAAATCAAGCACAAGAGAAGATGACGTGATCAAGAAAGTGCTGCGGTGAACACGAGATGCGTGAGGCTGCTGCCAGTTCAATGCAGCGTACTGTTTTATAGCAAACTTTTTGATTGTAAGGAGAAAGAGTAGACTCTACTATACTTCATTATTTTTAAATATATATCAGTAACATAGTCATTTATTGTCATTAAATGCTATGATGTAATTGTAGGTGCTATACTTTTGTATCACTTGGCTACGCAGGAGGTTTACAGTAGCATCACTGCAAACAGGTCAGTCTTGAGCTGCGATGGCTATGTCACTAGCAGCAGGAATTTTCCAGCACCATTATAATCTAATGGGACCACCATATATGTGGTCTGTTGTTGATGGAAATGTTTTGTGGCACATGACTGTATATGCCCTGAGCAAAACCCTCTCTGAGCCCCAGATTCCTCATCCAAAAAACAGGAACAAAAATAATTAAAATTGTTATGAGAAGCCCTGACTGGTGTGGCTCAGTGGGTTGGGCACTGTCCCACCAACCAAAAAGTTGCTGGCTTGATTTCCGGTCAGGGCACATGCCTGGGTTTCAGGCCAGGTCCCTGGTTGGGGGTGTGCGAGGGGCAACCAATCCATGTTTCTCTTGAATGTTGATGTTTCTCTCCCTCTCCTTCTCCTTCCCTTACCCTCTTTCTAAAAAGAAAGAAAACAGTTGTTATGAGGAAAGATTTAAGATAATGTACAGAAAGTGCTGCCTAGCTCAGAGAATATTCTAGATAAATGACACCCACTATTGGAAAACTCAATATCCTAGCAATTTCCCAAGCAGCCATGAACACAATCTGGCAACATGCTGAGCCAAAGGTCCCCATGCACACTGCTTGCTGCCAAGGCCTTTAGTTAGCTGTAACACGAAAACCCTCAGACATTCCAGAAGGCCCTGAAAAGCTTCTCTGAGCATCGACCTTTATCAATTCCACTGTCCGTATTAATAAAAACTACATAAAACAAAAAATTTAGTGGTGGAATTCTCATCCTAATTTCTAAAAATACTTCACTCATTTAGATTCATTAAACTAAACTCCTAACAAAGACATAGGTGTTGCTCCGCACTTGTTATTTGCTCAAGATTAAAGAGAATCCCCACGATTTTAAGCAGCTAACTTCCACACTGGAGGCCCGGGCCCAGGGAAGAGCCCTCTGCAGGCCCAGCTCTGGCTGCTGACAGCAGGCGCAGAGTTCTGCGGCCCCTGACACTGCGGGAACTGTCATCGCTGTACTCGGCAGCCGACCTGGTCAGTACCGACTAGTTTCCACACAGAAAAGGCTTATTAAGGCAACTGGACAAACAAGTGATGTAGCTAATTGTAACCTTTGAAGAGCAGGATAAAAGCTATAATTATCATTACATAAAAGTGGACCTGCAACCTAGGAAAATAATTCATCACCACCTGCCCCCAAATCTCTAGATGCAACTGGGTCAAAACCTACACTTTTATCGCAGAATGGCCAGCTACAATTAATCAAAACAAAAGAGCTTGGTATCATAAACTCTATGTAAAATACAATATAAACAAGACTTAAAGATATAAGCATACACAAATTTAATCAAACAAAGTACTGTATTGTGCAAAGAATCCTGAATCAAGAATCCCAGGTCTGCCTGAAATCAGTTTGTACCATTTACATGCTCTGTGGCCTTGAGTAATTAATTTCCATTCTGGGCTTCAACATCCACAGGTATAAAACAAAGTGTCCTGGGTTCATTCCTAGGGTTCCTCTGAAATCTAAGACTTCATGATTTCAAGTTTAGATTATAGATTACTGACGTAGCTATTTTATTTTCCCAGATTGCTCTGTTTTTGACTGATGGAGGCAGGACAATTCGGACAGTTCGTTACAAAGTTCCCCATGCCGGCGGCTCAGGCTGTGGGGCCTCCATTGCAACTTGACTTCTCCTCTGCCCAGTCCTGTCTTCTCCCTTTCCTTTTCACAGTGTTCACCCTAGCGAACTTCTAATAAATACCCTAAAATCTGCTTCTGGGAGAACCCAGCCTGCAATACTAAAATTTTATCTTAGAGAAAACACTTTGCAAAGTGCTCCAGAGGTTTTCAAACGTTATACTCCTAAGTGGTTCTTTCTAAATACCCTAAAACAGCTCTACCTCCCTCTATTTCTAATTATTTACTTTTTTAAAAAGTATATTTTTAGAGAGAGGGGAAGGAAAGGAGAAAGAGGGGGTGAGAAACATGGATCAGTTGCCTCTCTCACACCCCCAACAGGTGACCTTTCAGTTCACAGGCTGGTGCTCAAATCCATTAAGCCACACCAGCCAGGGCTAATGATTTACTTTTGAAATAGCAGCTATGACAGACATTACAGGTCGCTGTCTTCTGGCTTTTTAATTTTTAAAATATTTTGGTTGTCACAACGACGGGGGGATGCTACAGGCATTTACTGTCTGGAGTCAGACCGTACATCCTGCAGTACGTGGGACTGCTATTCCCAAAACGGCAGTGGCACACCATGGTGGACTCAGGGACAGAACATTCAGGCCATTTCCAGTGGTTATTTTAACTGAGCTATTGCGATATTTAACAATATTTTTACTGTAGTTTATGTGTAGGGAAACCAAGGAATGATAAAACATGGTGATTGCCCTCTAGGATCTAACGGTCTGTAGTAGAGAAAAGACTGGTAGATTTAAAAAAACAAACAAACCGAAAAGACTACAAGTAAGCACAGCATTAGAGGGGTCAGAGACAACTATAATTAAATTAGGAGAGAGGGTTAATTTCTGGTTGGGGTTCATGGAAATGATGTCTAAGATGGGCCCCTCAAATGGGTAGGATTCCTTAGGCAGAGGGAACTTCGTGATTGTAAATTTTTTATTTAACTTTTTATTTTAGTGAGAAGGGGAGGGAGAAGGAGGGAGAAAGAATTAGAGAGAAATTTGCATGTTTGCCTTCCATATGATTCCCCATCTGGGGACCCGAACCTGCAACTCAGGCATGTGCCCTGACCTGAAATCCAGTCAGTAACCTTTCGGTTTGCAGGACACTGCCCAACCAACTGAGCCACAGCGGCTGGGGCAGGAACTGTACGATCTTAAATGAAAAGTGGGAGAGTACAGGGTAAGTTCAGGAAGCAGCAGGTTGATGATTCAAGTCGACTAGGGTTGTATATGGCAAAATATATAGGTAGAAAAGATGTCCAAAGTCCTAACCTTGCACATCTCCAGTTAAGGGGTAGAATGAAAAAGGTGAGGGAGCAAAGCAGACAAAAGGAACGGAGAAAGCAAAGAGAAGAAACTAAACAGTAGTGCATCTAAAGCCAATGGGTAAGAGGAGTTAAAATATCATCAGGTCAGCAATAGTAAATGCTATGAGAAGTCATGGAAAGGTGAGGGTGGGGGTAAGGGAGGGGGATGCTCCTGGCTTTGCATCGAGGATCTGTTTCTGTAGGATCAGGCTGATAGAGGAGCCAGGATTGGAGAAGCAGAGGTTTGAGTGCTGGCCTTTCACTCGCCATCAAACAATGCAGGAGCAAAGCAGGATGGCATGTAGAAAGTAAATAGGATCAAAAGTCTTTCCTTACATGAACACTAGTGCTTGTGGGTAGAAAAAGAAGAACCAGAGAAAGACATCTTGAAGATGCTGGTGCTGGTTCCAGAACCATAGAGCAAAAACACAAGCTGGAACATGAGGCCAGGCAAAGAGGCTTACTGAAGATGCTTTGAACTACCACCTTTTGAAGTACTTCTATGTGAGTGAGTACAACATACACTCATGGGGAGCGGGAGAAGCTCTGAAGGAAAGCAAAAATAAATAGAAAAAGTTTTAGCCATGGCTCAGTGGACTGAGTGCCAGCCTGAGAATTGAGAGGCCACCAGTTTGATTCCCAGTCAGGGCACATGACTGGGTTGAGGGCCAGGTCCCCACTTGAGGGCAAGCAAAAGGCAACAGATCCGTGTATCTCTCGCACATTGTAGTTTCTCCCCTCCCTTCCCTTCTCTCTAAAAGTAAATACATAAAAGTTTTATTATATATCACTGAAATATCACTATGAGCCAGAGAATTTCATTAATTTGAAGCTCACCTTTCACCTAAATGTTTAATTCAGTAATTAAAAATCCTACTTTTTGCTCCATTTCTCCTATGCAACTGCAGAGCTTGAGGACATACAGAGGGAACAGTGGCTACTTAGTGATAACAAGGGCCCAGAGACTAGGGGCAAGACTAATTTAATTATTGGGGGGATTAAAACAAGTTTGACTCATATTGTTTCTCCCATCTGTCAATTTCAACTATGATAACAATTTGATCTACATTCAAATTCCCCATGAATTCATTTTTTTTAGTGCTAACGTCTTTAAATATGCCCAAGAATATGTAAAATTTTATATATTTTATCCTATATGTAAATGAATAACTTACCACGGGATCATACTCCCAAAGCTGGTTGCCTTTTAGATGGTGGCATTTGAGCATTGTGACTGGGCCATTAAGTTTGGAGACATCCAAACAAAGGTCATCTGTTCTAATTTCTTTGTTGGCAGTGTAAGAGAAAACCTGCAAAACAAAAGTGCACACACATGAGCTTTAACAGTAAAATATGCCAGCGTTTTATATGCCCTATAAACTGGAAGAGAAAAAGCAAACAATTCAAAATACACAATTTTGAACTTTATTATTGTAATAATAGAGAATAACTGACTCAAAAGCTACCACTAATTTTACACAAAAAAAGTTCTCTTCATACACTTGAGTGTACTGTCAAGAATTGTCATCTGTTAGACTAAAAAAGGTAGAATAAATCTCAGGCACAGAAATATAAATACAGTTCTGACAAGGAGCCTTTTACAGACGTTTAATTTAAAAATAATCATTAGATTGAAGGCTCCCTTCTCGTAAAGGTCTTTATTATTTTCTCTTTAAAGGTAGGAAAATATTCCTGAATGACATCATGAGATAAAAAGAGAAAATTTGAAAATTATCCCTTTTAAAGCTTTACTAAAATACTCACCTGATTACCTCCCATACCATGACAGTTAAAAATTCCAACTTTTTCATTCTCTTTTCTAGCCATGTTATCCAGACACTGATTTGTTTCCACATTTCGTATCTATGAGACAATGAATAATGAAAACCATCAGGAGTTAGTTAAAGGGGTTAACTAAACAGACACATACAGATACACACACATTAAAATCAATCTAAACTCTCCACTACTATAAAAGACCTTCAGATGCTTGACCAGGTAGGGGCTATGAGCTGGGGGGAAAGTTCACTGGCTATCTAAAATTCTGTGGTCTAGAAAGGTCTTAACATTTATATAATTTTTATGTTTCAGGCAAAAATCCTTGAAATTCTTTTTTTTTTTTTTTTTAAAGATTTTATTTACTTTTAGAGAGAAGGAGAGGGAGGGAGAAAGAGAGGGAGAGAAATATCAATGTGTGGTTGCCTCTTACTGCCCCCTACCCTCTGGGGACCTGGCCTGCAACCCAGGCATGTGCCCCGACTGGGAATGGAACCAGTGATATTTTGGTTCGCAGGCCAGCACTCAGTTCGCTGAGCCACACCAGCCAGGGCTGAAATTCTTAATTTCATTTTTTCCAACTTGTGCTTCTAGGTTTTATATTTGGTTCAATAAACGCTATTTTGCCTAATAATTTAAAGCTATTTAACAGCTTCTTGTGGACACTGTTAATCACTAAGTTAAGGGGCATTTCTTGTACTGCTCTGATGACTTCTTAGGTGACACAAGGTAGATGTTTTCTAAGCAGAGTTTGGAGCTTGGCTTAACTGGGAGCCTAAGCATGGTGTGGTGCAAACACCACTCTTTTGTTAGATAACTTGTCAATTACATAAAAGGAATTTAAACAGTCATCAAAATTAAGCAGGATATTTTAAGCGATGCACCCTTATATTTTGTTTCCTCTGAATTATTGCAATTTAAAAGCATATTGTAAACTAACAGACATTTTGAAAGTTCTAAACCTGTTCCCATGGATGGTACTTTTAGCAGCTAAGCCAAAAGGGGATATGTGACAATCTACATCTGTCATGTCATGTAGATTGGAAAAAAAAAAAGGTGACTAATTTTCTGTGGTAGATAGAGGGAAAGTTGAAGCCACAAGTAAGTCATTTGTTTTTATAAACAAATGCACAGTCTACATATTATTCCACTATCTTATAAGGCACTAACAAGCCCATATGCATTTTTTTTCTTATAAAGACATAAAGATATAGGTGTGAAAAACTGTACTATTAGCAAGGTTGTCAGTAACAAGAACTGGGGTTTTTGCTTAAGTGAGATCTGGGTTTAAATCTAAATGACCCAAACCTTCTGAGATCAATTTCCTAACAGTAACTTCGAGATAATGTTGGGTCCATGCTGAAGTTAGGTTAGACAATGCACCCTACCTAATTCAGAGTATAGCACGTAGTAGTAAGCACAGAAAGAGTAACAATCCAAAACACCAACCTATTGCTAGTCACCTCCATCTTGCTATTCCATCAACCTCAAACTCAGTTCTTGCAACACAGGACTTTTCGGCTGTATAATGCTAATACTTTACTCCAATATTTTAAAATGTCCCTGCCATTCCACCCCTGACGTACCTAAAACAAACCTCATTATCAATCCTCTCCTGATATCCTATTTTTGTTAACAATCCCATCATTTGTCCAATTATTTGAGATGGAAATCTCAGGGTCCTCCCTTTTCTGGGTCCAACACATCCCACCCAGGAATTCTTTTACCTTGTAATTCAAGTTATCTTTTTTTTACCCATTATTTTAATTCAGAAACCTATTGCCTTAAAAACAGATTTTATAGAAGGTGTTATAATTAGATACAAATTTGTATAAAACATCTTTCTGCACTTCAGTGAGGAGTGAATCAATACTTGATGATGGTGGCTATCTTACTTGAAAAAGAATTGAGATTATTTCATTGTACTTTAGAAAAAAATGATAAATTCACCATTCCTTTTTCTCAATTTTTTCCTTTCAAATACAGATGTAGAGGGTGCTGAAGAAAAGTAATAAATGCCATAGGAAAGATGAGAGAACACCCAATGTTATCCTTGGCTTCTCTCTTTCATGTGGAATGGCCTTTTGGATAAATAATTGACTCCTTTTTTACCAAACTCAAAATTAATACAATTCTCCAAACCCCAAATGTAATAAGGTTTCCTATTACTCTGCAACTATCTTATAGTAAATCAACACTGGTTATTTTGTTTCCACAACTGATGTTGCTAACTATAGCAAATAAATTACCCTTACTCTGTGCTAGGTATTGTTCTACGAGTTTTGTATGTAATAGCTTCTATCATCCTCACAACTTCCCTGTGAATAATTTGGGGTTGTTTTCTGACTTGAGAGATCTAAATCTCTACCCCTTGGGGTCACTACTGATTATAAAATATTAAAAGTATAGTTTCTTCAAGGATTGGAAACCACTGCTTTCTGCCATCTGTTAGAGTGACATGAATCCTGACCAGCTGTGGTCAAGGGAGGCCCAGTTTAGATGGGTGATCAGGGACTTGCCAGCGGGCCTCTCTTGGGCTCTGATAGCACTCCTCTAAAACGCAGGGGCGTTCTGAAGAGATGCCCCGACATTTGAGATGACGTAGGAACTTTTGTAAGAGGGCAGCTATTCATGTTTTGGTCCCTGGGTGGCTTTACCATTAGAAGGCAGAGAGGGTTCTGTTTGGCCTCACAAATATGCCATATCTTAGTAGCTGAGGGGGACATCTGCTCTCCAGGCTGCCTCTACTACACACTGGACAGCTAGAGAAGGCAGTTTTCAGAGACTATCCTCTTTTTCCTGGCAGGAATACATGTGGACCACTTCACCTATGGGATGTGTAAAATCATTTCTTGAGGATGCGAAAAACTCTAGAGGATGAGTTGTGGAACAATTCTGTCTTTTAGAATACCAGTTAATAGGTCTGGTAGGAGTTAACTTTGAAAAGTCTTTGGAGAAGGAAAAAAAATAGGAACAAACATACTTTCTAGGGATGTTGAATCAGATGTTCAAAATTGTAATTTCATATAGCTTTAAGGCTATGTAACCAATTACCAGTGTTCTCGTAAGGCATGGTAGGTAGAAAAGGTAGTGACGCATCCTTGCTCCAGTGTTTACTTTGGAATGCAAATGGTACTAGAGCTGGTTATCCAACATCTGACTGGAAAGTCACTGGGAAGAAAAGCACTTGGAAAATACAGAATGACATAAAATGGATAGGCATGTTATTAGGGAGAAGGGAAATTACAAGAAATAATTTAAAACTGGTTAAGGATTCTAGTCAACTATCTCCTTTGTTGGATTTTTTCCTTAAAAAAAAAATAAGGACAAAAACAAGAAAAAAAAGAACCTTTAGTCAGGTTAGGGAGTATCCTGAAGTACAATCTAAGGAAAAGACGGGCTAATGTCTGGGTTTTCCCACTTTTTGCGCACTCTGGCCCGTCTTTTGGTACACAGAGCGGGGACTGGCAAAGAGCGCTCAGTAGCTTTGTTACACTGTGAATTCCTTCTAGTTTATTTGCATTCCAAGTCATATCTTGATCACTATCTTAGAAAAAGAAACGAGAGGAGTTCCCTTGTTTGGTAACGTAGTACTTGGTGATTATCAGGATGTCTAATGCCAGTTGAGATTCTGAATTATTAAGGATCCTTAAACTAAAATATGGATTTAATATATAAAAAGGGAGCTTTTCCTCATTGGAGTAGATACTTCAGGATATAAATGTGATTCTAATGTTCTCCTTATGGAGCAGGAAAATAACTACTGACAGGATGGTTTGGGAATTTGATATAATGCATCCCTACGAAAGTTGTTTTAGGATGTACATATTTTAAATTATTTGAGAGTAAAGATGATTATGGAGGATATACAATAGTTATGAGTTTTGAAAGTACTGGGTTTGACAACCAAATATGAACACCTCAACTTTAGGACCCAGGTCGGAAGAAATTTGTGGAATGATGGCACAATGGATGGATAACTCTCTGTACTGGCTATTGTATTAATGCCTATGATGATGGAAATGTTTTATATCTGTGTCATCCAATACAGTAGCCACTAGCCATATGTGACTGAGGAACTGAATGTGAATTTTATTTAATTTTAATTAACTTAACCACATGTAGCTACTAGCTACCACACTGGATGTGTAGGACTGGATGCTGACACACAGAAATAAGTCTTCCACCTTCTGTGAGAACTACTTATTAATGATGAGAAACAGTGCACAACCCTGCTAATGTAGCTATTATCATATACTTGGCACTCTGTGAAAGGCACGTGGAAGTGCCCAAGTTTGGTTAGTACTTTCTGGAACTAGGGGATGTCTTAGGGGATCTAAATGATTTCAAAGGGAAAGGTCTGTAGACAAAATGGTCCTTTTTGTAGGATTTCTTTTTGACTGAATCACACATTTCTCCTTACAGAACCAGAACTGCCAATGAGCCAAACCAAAACCATCATAAGCACCCATGTGCAACTAACTGTGCAATGGCTATGTTAGTAGGGGAGGGGAGGGAGCTTTCTGATTGAATCACAGCAATACCTCAGCTGCGGTGGCTGGAGAAATAGCCACATTTCCAAGGTGTCTGAAAGCAGATGGGTAGGAGTGAGAGGAGGTTTGAGGGCAGACAAGCCTGGGCCTCACTCCTGATTCTGCAAGTACCAGCCATGGGACCTCGGCGGGTCAGTATTCTAAGGTAGTCGCTCTCAAAAACATGATCTGGACGACAGCATCTGGCCAGGTGTGGTTACATGAGCCACTGAAGGGGGGGGGGGGTTGTGATCAAATATATTTGGGAAATACCAGGTTAAACAAATTTAAATTAGTTCCTTTACTGAAAGACTTCTTGAAGCCTTTTACATGCTGTGACTCTTGGTAGGGGTAGGGACTGGGAGTACAGAAAGATGTAAGAAGCATCATTTCCCAAACATTCTTGGCCACAAAATCCACTCCCTCCTCCCTTGTCTTTCTAATTGAGCAAGCACCTTGAGGGACTTCAGACATCGGCATTCTTTACACAGTAAATGGGAAATGTTGCTGTAAGAACCTCCTTTTCTTATCACTAAAACAGGGGTAACCATCTCA